TGTCTTCCCCCCGTCTGTCTCCCCAGAAACACTGAGGCTTGAACAGTTAATGGCCCCAGCAGGTCTGGCACCATCTGTCCCTCCTGTCCCCCTCATCCCACGTCTGTCTCCATTCACTCAGGCTTGCTGCTAAATCCCCAACAGCGGATCAACCTCAACAAGTAATCAAAGGAGACAGGGAGGAAGGACTGAGGAGCCAGCCTGGAGTGTGACGCTTCTGTGTGAGGACACAGACCCTGACAGGCTGGAGAAGGACCCTGAGCATCCCTTGGCTGCCCCATACGCTGGAGCCCCCTGGCCCAGCCTCACCTGGGACTCAGAAGGGAGGAAGGCAATGTTGATCTCCGTCAGGGTCTTGATGACCTTGGCAGCACGGGACTTCACCAGCTCATTGAAGAGGGCGTCGGGGCAGGCTGTGAGGGGAGGGAGAGGAGGAGCTCAGCATCCCACCGTCCCTGCATGTCTTTAGTGCCAGGGACCTTTCCTCCCCTCCAGGTACTCACAGTCAGTGAAGAAGACATGGGCAGCTCTGTACTTGGAGGTGGGGGGATCCTTGAAGTCGTTGATGAGGGAGTGGATGGACTGCAAGAGAGAAGGGACCAGCTGGGCTGGGCATAGGGGTGGCACCAGCATCCTCCCTCCTGCCCTGAGGTATGCTCCAAGCCTCTGCTCCATTGCACCACTGGCCTCACTGGAGCCAAGATGCTCCCTACGGGCACAGTTACGTGTCCCAGTGTGGGCATCCCACTGCCTCCCCAGCCCCATGCTGTGTATTCACCTTCTCGGAGGGGGTAATGAGGTACACAGCCTCCAGGCTGGGCAGTGGCTCCCGGCGCTTGTTGATGTCTTCCACAACTGGAGAGGGGGAAAACAACAACCATGGCAAGGATGGGTGAGGGCAGGAGTTGTTGGACATCCCACCAACCCTGCCAAACCGTTCTGTGTCCCCAGCCCCTCAGCACTGCCCACACAAGAGTTCCAACCCATGGGGCTGTGTGTATGTGCCCGGTAAGGTCACAGTGGACCAGTGGAGTCGTCTGTGTGCTCCCATCCTGCTGTTGCTGTGGGTTATGTTATTCTCACATCCCTCTACTGGAGGGGACCACTTGGGGTAGGTGATGCTTTGGTGGTACCCAGGCTGGGGCAAAACCCCTGCCCCAAACCTCCTGGTGCATGGCCTAGGGTGTTCTTCTCCTTTCCGAGTGTGGCAGGGAGCTATTTAGAGGGGTGACATAAGATAATACTTTGTCTCCTCCTCAGACTGAGATACCACGAGGAAATGAGGTGTTTGGGCTCCTCCAGCCCCAGCAGGTGAGGAGAAAGGCTGTGAACCATCAGCCTGGCACCACGACAGTGGTCCATGAGCAACGGGAGGTAGCGTGTTTCCATCCCAAGTGGGACGGGGATGGGTGGACTGGCTTGTGCCAGCCTGGAGATATCTGCAGGTCCAAGAGGGAGGTTCTGCCTTTCCCACAGTGAGGTTCGCTGGGCCAGGGGCTTGTTACTCACTTGTTATGCCCTCGGTCATGATGTCGGTCATCTTGCAGCAGGAGGAGAGCATCCGCATGCTGAGCTGGTCCACCACCAGCACCTGCGGAGAGGGCTGTGAGCTGGGGCACAGAAGGCAGCCACAAGCTGCTGTCTCCCATCCCTTCCTCATCTTTTTCCCATTCCTTCCTCATCCCTTCCCCATCCCTGGGGGCTCCCTGCCTGCACCTACCCCCTGCTTCCTCCTCCGCACCCTCCTCCTCTCCTGTCCCTCACTCAGGGGTTGATGCTCACCTTCCATTCTCCCTTCTTCTTCACTTTCCGGATCACATCGTGCATAATCTCTGCAAAAGAAGGAGCACAGGGCAGGTGAGCACCCCAAGTCCCCCCTGTAGCACCCCAGGCCTGCTGACAGCAGCATGGGGGGCACTGAACCCCCAACCCACGGTGAGCCCCACTCCCCAGCACATTTCCTAGGGATGTGGCAGGAGATGGGGATAGGTTTGGGGTATCTAGGGAGAGCTTGTCACCCCCAGCCCTGTTTCTATCTCATGTTTGGCACTAATATCAGAGCCCACAGCAGTGGGGAGGTATGGGAGCGTTGTTGGGGGGTCCCTCTGGGGAGCCTGGGGGCCGCCCCCCCATGTCTCAGCCCTAATCTGAAGCACCAGAAAAACAACAAAGGCTTAAGAGCTCCTTTTAGAAACAAGACTCAAGCGGCCTCAGCCTGGTCCTTGTAATCCCCCAAATCCCATTCCACCTCCCGCGCCTGCCATGCTTATGCAACCAGCAGGGACAGCAGCACCCGGGGGTCTCCCCACACCCCTCGGCCCTATGGCCGCCTTGCACCCACATGCCATGGGGTGCCACTGGGGCTGCTCCCTGTGGGGTGCAGGTTAAGGCCATGTGAGGAGTGGGGTGCAGTGGGGACCAGGGTGTCATTTGTGGGGCTGGATTGTGGGATAGGGGGTTTCAAGCCTTGCTAGAATCAGTATCTGCCCTCCTGCCAGACACATGCGCTGCCAAACATCTGCACTGGGGCAGCTGAGGTGCCCCCAGAACCCTGAAGGTCCCTTTTGTACCCGGGTGTACGAAGCATCACCCCTTGCAGAGCAAGGATGCATCTGTGTCCTCCCCATGGTGTTCTCCCTGGCTTTCTGCCCTGGAGGGCTTTGCTCTGACCCTCTGGTTCCAAGATCAGGGATTGAAATGCCCAGTTAGAACCCAACTAAGGAATGTTTCTATGTTATTAAACACACGTGGTGTGTGGAGCTCACTGTTGTGGTGTCACTCTGCCTTGGGAGTGACCCCAAGGGTAACGGTCCCCCAGTAAAGCTCCTTTTGGGTTTATAAAGTGTTGCCCCTTTGAGGGGCAGTGAGTGCGGCTGCATATCCATCTCCTTCCCAGTGACATCTGCCTGTGGGATGCTCCAGAAGGATGCTGGCTGTCAACCTGGAGTCCTGCCTGCCCTTGGTCACATCCTTTAGCCTTTCCATCGGTGGAGGGGCTGCATGGCTGGGGAAAGCAGATGGAGCTGGACACTGCTGGGGTGGGAAAAGCTGCTGCCTGCACCCATATGTGTTTCCCACCTGAATCCAGGTCACCCACACAGCAGAAAGGTGGAATGGGAAATGTCCTCCCCATGGGCAGGAGCCTGCCCCCATCCTGCTCTCGGATCCTTTGCTGGTGCAGGAGCACGGGTCAGAAGCAGGGATGCCAGCCAGAGCATCCCTCCTCTTCCTTCCATTAGTCACATTTGGCTCCTTCCCCGGAGCAAGGCTCCAGGAATGAGAGCTGTTTACAAGGCAGCTCCTGCCCTCCATCCCATACCAACAACCTCAGTTGCAAACTATATGGCACAAAGCACAGGGGGACATGGTGGTGCCCCATGTCATGGTGACCAGGAAGGGCTCAGGGTCTGGCTGTCAAAAGACATCCTGCCCCTGTGATGACATATGGCTTTGCTCTAGGGCTGGGAGGGGAAGGAAAGAAGGAAGGAGGTTGGGAAAGAGCATCCTGGGGCCCATTGGTGCAAAGGCTCCATTGCTGAAGCGAGCAGGGGACAGCCCAGCACACGGGAGCCCCAAAATGCTGCCTCAGCCAGCCCTGAGTTTGTCCTTGTGTGGCAGCTGCTGCAGGGGACATTCGTCTTCAGCACCTTGCTCTGTGGAACTCCTTCCCCCTCTTTTGCATGTGTATGGGTTGAGCTGCATGGGGGATGCACGTCGATGGGGGGAACATCTGCCCAGCTGTGCACCTCCCAGTGCAGAAAGGGCCATCATGATCCCCCCCTCCCACGATCCTGGCACCAACACAGGCTTCCCAGAGCAGAAACTGGCACCTCTGAGGGAACTGCTCTGAGCTTTGTGGTTTTAGGGTGTCCATCCCATGGTCAGAGGTGGACCCCACTGCACTGGAGCCAGCGCTGCTCCTAGCCTGCTGCAGGCAGGCACAGACAAACTGATGTCCATGACAGTAGGTCAGATCTGGCTCCAAAGTTCTCCAAGCTGGTTTCCAGCGGCTGCCAGAGCCTCGGCAGGGCTGGGAGAGAGGCAGATTCACAGAGAACCCTCCAAAGAGGCTCTGGCAGGGCAGGAGACACAAAGCCACATTCAGAGGGGACATGGCCATAGCCTGCATATCCTGGGAGTCCTTGTGGTATCCATCAAACCCCCAGGTTAGGGAAGAGTAGTCTGTCAGCCCTCGGGTAGAACAAGAGGGCAATGCTCAATGCTAGGGTTGGCCAGAGCTGGCACGGAAAGGGGGAAATGTGGGAATTCTGAGGTGAAAAGGAGATGTAGGAGGGTACAGCCTATCCCTGGGGCTGTTTTGGCTCATGCGGCTGCTGGCACTGGAGCTGGGGCTGTGGATGGGATGCTGGGCAGGACGTGAGCGCTGCTCACACCATGGTGAGGAGTCTGGAGGTCCCCAGGCATCTCCGAACAAGGACCTTGCACCTGCTGCTGGGTGGGAGATGAGCACATGGGGATGGATGAGGCACCAAGGGCTTGGCCAAGGCCAGATGTGAGAAGATACCAGACCTGTCCTTAAGCAGGGCAGTTCCTAAGCAGCATCTCTGGCACAAGCACATCCAGCCAGGAGAAAGGATGCCAGCACATACTATGCTGTTGATGTATATGATGAACAATGGATGAGCAATGCCAGGGAAGGCATCCTTAAGCAAATTCTTTATGGCCCCTTCCTACCGTAACCATTCCATGATTCTATGATCCAATTCCACACTCAGGAGAAGTTATCGGATCAGCAAGAGATTCCTCCATTCCCTGAGGTCCTCAAGTCAAGCCTGGCCACTCCTGTGAAGCAGTGCTCTTGTGTTCCCACATTAGCAGGTCAGATGTTGCCACCAATGTCCCCAGGTGGTCTGGCCAGCCAGAGCTGTTGGACTCTAACATGGTAATGTTCACAGTCAAGTGTTTCATCTTCACCAGGTTTCAGAGGGAAAAAAATGCACATGTGCATCTCATGCAGTGCCTTCCACACTTGGCTTGTCTGGACCTAGCACATTGCATCTGATTCCTTCGGGCTGGAAGGATTCTAGTTCCAATGTCAACCAAGAACAGACAATACAGACAGCTCAGGACTTACCCTCCACTGCAGAGACAACATCAGCGCCTACAGACAAGGAAGCACACCCCACCTGCCAATGCAGGACCGCGGCAAGTGGCATGGAAATGACCCACTGCATCATTTCCAAGCAGGGCCAGAAGCTGGTGACACGGTGGCCTAGTAGGACCTGAGCCTACACATCACTCCAAGAGGCTTAGCCCATGGTATTTATAGTGAGCTGGCTGGGCAACAGCAGCCAGCCCCATGTCTCCAACTGGTTGTGGGGGAAGAGGAACAAACCCTGCCACTGCCTGTGCCCACACAAAGCCTGGGCTGAGATGGACTCATCTGGGATGCCCCAAGCCCATTATCCTGCCTCAGGAAGAGCCTGAAGCCCAGGGAGCAGCCGTGACCTCCACCAGTGGTGGAAGCAGTAGAACAATGTCCACCCGGAGTACCAGGATGGGTGAGGGATGCTGCAGCCAGGGGACCACAGGAACCCACAGTGAGGTTTGCTCAAGACCCGCTTCTCCTCGAAAGCTGCCACACTGCATCTCCAAGAGGTATGTTTGGTTTGGGTTGACTTGGTAACTGCTTTTTGCTGGTTCATTAACTGATTGCTTAAGACTGTGAATGTTACATAGATGTAACCATGACTGAATGTTGTGGAGCACATATCTACCTCTGAACATCCTCAGCAGGGATCTCAAGGTGCCAGTGCTCCATCCTAAAACAGTCCCCAGTAAAATAGGCTCCATGGATCAGAGGATGGCTGGAAGGCCATCAATGCCATTGAGGACATACAGGACAACTTCATTTACAGGAGGCAAAGCCTAGCTGGTGTCCTTCAGTGCAGCTAAGAGGCAACTCAGATGATTTGAGTCCAGAGAACACTGTGTCCATAAACCAAGTCTCAAATATCTCCCCTTCAGCACTCTGTGTCCTCAACACCTATTTTTTCTCTCTGGATTATTTCTGGTGCCCACCTGGAAGACCTCAGCCTTGCTGGAGGACACGTTCCTCACTTGGGAACCTGACAGTGGCGCAGCCCAGATGCCATCCAGCTCCAGTAAGTCCAGCACTGCCCAGGCTCAGCTTCATCCTTTCCTCCCCAACCCTGGATGAGGTGATCTTTGCTATTTTCACACACGTTCATCCTTTTCCTATTTGCTCTGCTCTTATGAAGGATGTACCAAAGCCATGGGAAACCTGCAGAGCCCAGAGAGAAGGACAACAGGGACCTGGAGGTCTTGAACTCTTACGAAACGGAGTAACACAGACAGAAAGGAGTAAGGGAAATTAAATGCATGATCACGGCCATGAATGGCTCTCACTGCCTGCACTGGAGAAATAGGGTGACATACACAAGGATCTCACTGTGGGATCACTCCTGGCACTGATTCCTCAAGTCTGCCCAAGGATCTGGGAGCTGGGCAGGTCTGGGTAGAGTCAATGGACCACAGACCACATCAGGTCCCTTCTGAAGGCATCACCCTTCACTAACGCTTGTCCTTTTCCACTAGGTGATTCCATCCCTGGCAGAGATGCTGTACCTGGGTGCTGGTATAGCCAAAGTTGGTGGTGCTTTGTGCCAAGAGGAGCCAAGAGCAGGACAGCACACAAGGGGTGTCAAAGTGTCCTGGAGGGGAGATAACCCTCTCCCAGGGGTAAGTCACCCTTTCCTATGTGTGTGACCATGACTTTCTGAGCTGGTTCTTCTCTGCCTTGAACCAAGAGGGTCCATCCAGGCTGGGCTGGCCTCCTGTGCCCA